TGAAGATGTTCTTGTCAAGGTAGATAAATTTATTTTTCCGGTTGATTTTATAATTCTTGACATGGAAGAAGATAGGCAAATTCCAATCATGCTTGGGAGGCCATTCTTAGCAACTGCTAGAGCATTGATTGATGTTGAAAAAGGAGAGTTCACTTTGAGAGTTCGAGACCAACAGGTAACATTTAATTTATTCAAAGCTTTAAAATTACCTGTGACATCTGAAGATTGCTTTTCTGTGAGCATGGTAAATAACTTTACACAAAAGTTTTTCTTAGAAGAAAATCCCAATGATCCTCTTGAAGCATGTTTAGTTGCTAATTTTGACAGGGATGATGATGAATTTATTGAATATTCTAATTTGTTAAATTCTCACTCCAGATTTAGAACTAATAATCGATTTGAGTCTTTAGATATCAACTTCTTTGATGCCAGCTTCTAAGCTCTCCATTAAGGAACCGCCTACTTTGGAACTTAAACCTTTGCCTGATTACTTGAGGTATGCTTTTCTTGGAAAATCTTCTACTCTTCCAGTTATTATTTCTGCTGCTCTTACTAACATGCAAGAGGAGAAATTATTGAGGACTCTTAGAGAATTCAAAAAAGCAATAGGGTGGACCATAGCTGATATTAAGGTAATTAGCCCTTCTGTTTGCATGCATAAAATCCTCCTTGAGGAAAATCACAAAGCCACAATTGATCGACAAAGAAGTAGTCAATAAGGAAATCATCAAGTGGTTGGATGCTGGAATAATCTATCCTATCTCTGATATCTCATGGGTAAGTCCAGTTCAATGTGTTCCTAAGAAAGGAGAAATGACTGTGGCTGCCAATGACAATAATGAGCTCATCCCAACAAGAACTGTGATTGGATGGAGAGTGTGCATGAACTACCGCAAGCTTAACAAAGCTACAAGGAAAGATCACTTCCCTCTTCCATTGATTGATCAAATGTTGGATCACTTGGCTGGTAAGGAATATTATTGCTTTCTAGATGGCTATTTTGGTTATAACCAAATTGCTATTGCTCTTGAAGATTAAGAAAAGACTACATTTACATGTCTTTATGGCACCTTTGCTTTTATAAGCATGCCATTTGGATTATGTAATGTACCTGCCACCTTTCAAAGATGTATGATGGCCATATTCACAGACATTGTGAAGAAATGTTTAGGGGTATTTATGGATGATTTTTCTATCTTTGGAAATAATTTTGATGATTGTCTTTTAAATCTTGCTAAGGTACTCAAGAGATGTGAAGATACAAATTTGGCACTCAATTGGGAGATATGTCACTTCATGGTGTGAGAAGGTATTGTCCTTAGGCACAAGATCTCTAGCAAAGGCATTGAGGTAGATAAAGAAAAAATTAAAGGAATTGAGAAATTACCACCTCCAATAAATGTCAAAGGTATTAGAAGTTTTCTTGGTCATGCTCGTTTTTATAAAAGATTTATTAAAGACTTTTCAAAAATTTCTAAACCACTTTGCAATTTATTGGAAAACGATGTGCCATTTAAGTTTGATAATGAATGTCATGTTGCTTTTGATGAATTGAAGAAAAGTTTAATATCTACACCTATCATAATTAGTCCCCGATTGGACTCTCCATTTTGAACTAATGTGTGATGCGAGTGATTATGAGGTGGGAGCTGTTTTGAGACAAAGGAAGGATAAAATCTTTCATTCCATCTATTATGCTAGTAAGACTTTGAATGAGCCCCAGAAAAATTATACCACAACAAAAAAGAAGCTCTTGGCTATAGTGTTTGCTTTTGACAAATTTTGCTCTTATCTCTTGGGGACAAAGTTGATAGTTTACATTGACCATTCAGCTATCAAATATTTGATTGCCAAGAAGGATGCTAAACCAAGATTGATACGGTGGATTCTCTTGCTACAAAAGTTTGATCTCGAGATTCGTGATAGAAAAGGAATAGAAAATCAAGTGGCAGACCATTTCTCAAGATTGGAGATTCAAGCTCAAGGTATGAATTCAACCTTAATCAAGGAAACTTTCCCTGACGAACAAATCCTTCAAGTTAGTAAGAAATCACCTCCTTGGTATGCTAATTTCGAGAATTATCTGGTAAGCAATATCATTCCCTCTGATTTTAATTTTCGTCAAAAAAAGAAATTTTTTCATGATGTGAAAT